GATAATATTTTATATCTCTTCATTCAACATTTTGAATGACTAGCTTGCATCCATAATAGGTAGTTTATTTTCATGGTTTTAATTTTAGCAAATGATAGCTTGGAAATAAAAGAAGTGCAAAATTAGATTTCAGAATCTTTTACTTAAACTGGTTCTATATGACTTTGTACTCTTATCCCTTTCTATTGCCCATAATGATAGATAATATAATTAGAGTTTGAGATGATTGTTAGGCATAGAACTGGACATATCATTACTATTTGACTAAAGAAGTTAATAATATTTTGTCGATTTGACTAACTAAAACAATTGCAGTTTTCAAAGGAATGCATTTGGTGGGAAGTTAGTATTGAGGCTTTTAGCTTAGATTGTCACTCTACAAAATATTATTAGAAAATTCTATTTTGATTAAGAAGACATATTTGCAATCAAACAAATTGTTGGATTTGAATTTGCATATGTAGATTTACAAATATGGCAATTCATGTTTTTATTTAAACTTGCTATATGTATTCTATAACTATTTGGTTAGATAATGTTTTCATCTATTTGTAATGCTATTAGACATGATTTAAATAGATAGATTAACTCACTCTTTCTCTCAAAAAAGAAAGAAAAATATGCAAGTTTGTATTTTTTTTTATTGATGCTGAAGATAGTGACAGGTTTTTGTGGCTTTCTATATTTTTTCTAATTATTAAAATGTTAGAAACATTATGACTACTCTTTATTTAATTACAACTAAAACTATGCTGCTATTAAACCGATAATACACTCATAATGTATTTGCTTTCTTTTCTTTTTGGTATCATTACGTACATAGAATATTGGTTAAAAATTTTTTTTCCCAAATCACAATAAATTAGGGTTAACTTTATATATGAAATTTCTTTTCACAGCAAATTTTAATTGTTTTTATACTTAATTTTTTTTTCTATATTTCTATTCATTATGTACTAAAACATTTGTTACTATGTATTTAACTAATGTTCTAGAGAGGCCTGGCTGTGCAACCTATATTTCTATTCATTATGTACTAAAACATTTGTTACTATGTATTTAACTAATGTTCTAGAGAGGCCTGGTTGTGCAACCTCTAGTCTAACTATAATATAAAAACAGAGTTCTTCTTACTGTAGTTGCTTGAGCCATTGCCACATGGCAGCTGCAAGGTGAACCTTGTGCCTTGCATTTGCTCTTTTGTGTTGACTTGTGATGCTATTACAAGAAATGAATTGGGCTGCAAAATTTGGCCTATGAAATAACATTATTATGATATGTAATATAATTTGGGAAAAGCCAGTGCACCTGTTTCTTTGGGGTTACTTTTTTTTTCCGGCAACGATAGATGTTGTATAACCTACAACAGTCTAGTCTAAGGGAAGGGGCAGGGGGATAGTCAACTAAGACCAGCCACATATTGTGGCCAAATTGTGGGAGGCAGGGGTTGATCCCCTGACCTCCAGCATCACCATTATAGTGATGACCACTGGACCAAATGGCCAGTGGCCTGTTTCTTTGGGGTTACATTGAAGATAATTTTGTGCTAACAAATATATATATAAATGCTAGCAACAAATGTAAAAGTTTTTTTGGCTACCTTAAAAGAATTTAACACCAACAGTAAATGTTAAATAAATTAATGATTATCATAACATTATAATTGAAAACGAATAACATTTTTCTTTATTGTTTATTATTTCTTTGCTAAAAAAACAATTAATTGAGAAGTATTTGATATCAATATATATTATGCGAGTAATAAATTTATGAATCATTATTTCAGATAAATGTGTTGGCGTAACAGATTTAAGTATAAATATAACAGATTTAAGTATAAATAAGGTTTTAATAGCTTTCAAAAATTTCAACGGTAGAAGAGATGACCAAAAAATTTTGATTATCTAAGAAGGTAATATAAGAAGAATGGGAATTTCTCATAATATAGGGGCAGTATAAAGGGAAAAAGATATTTTCTAAAATTCAGGGGATGCAAGGCTCCGCTATTAAATACGTATGAATTCATTAGCACTACTACTTTGTATGAAATTTTTTTAGGTCAAAATTAATGTCATTCAATTCTATTATGAAAAACATTGCCAACTAGATGTCATTGCATGTATCTAAATAAAGTTTTGATATGAATATGCAAATTTATATGATGTGTGATAATATTATTATCAAATAAGCATGACAGATAACTTGTTAATTTTTTAGGATGTATTTATTGATTGCTAATTTGTGTTTTTTTTTTCAGTAAATTGCTATTGAACCATACAATGATTTAATTTTGTAAATCACACTATACTATGGATAAAGTCTACACATTCCAATGGGCACAGACTCACAGTTGTGCGTAGCATAGCCAACCCCTAGCCATTATCCTACTGCAATAATGCCATAATGCCTTTCAAATCCTCCTAGCCATTATCCTACTGCAATAATTCTTGCTAAGAAGAATGCCCATGTTGTGGCAATTCCACCCAAAAGGTAATGGGTTACTCCTACAACACATCCTTGTACAATGCTCAAGGCTCTCGACTGAGTAGCAGGAGCAACTTTTAATTTATTATAAGCCCAAACGATGGATTCAATAAGTTCTTGCTAATAACCACGTCCACTAAATAGAAACATTAAGGGATAATTTCACAAACCTCCCCTGAGGTTTCTGACACTTGCACTGAGACCCCTTCAGGTTTTAAAAATTACACCTAGCTCCCTTGCTTTTCATATTTTGGTAACAATTCAGTCCAATTAGCAATCCAATATTCCTGTCATGACAGAGTTGATAATTATATTCCATGAATGCCCTCAATGGAACTTATTAGTACAAGATTGGTAGTTAATAACAAGGTAGACATGATTATCAAAGTTGAAGGGTATAAATGCAATTTAGGAAAAGTTCTTTTGTTACACCAAGCACTCTTCAGTAGGCAACGGTCTGATACACAGGAATAGGCAACGGTCTAATGCAATCTTCCAACGGCCAAAAATTTGGAAAAGATTGTGCATATAAACATCCTCAATAGCAGATTCCATGGCCTCTTCAAGCCAAATTTTTTCATGCAAATTTGGAAAGCACATTGTATCCTCGAGAGCCAAAAGACTATGAGTCTCAGTCACAGAAGGCTAAGCTGAAAACATTTAGCAGATTCCATGGCCTCTTCAAGCCAACCAACAGAATTCTGGAATTCACCAACAACTTTCAGTATTAAGAATAGATATTGCTACTGCAATCGCAGGCCACGGTGAAGATATCAGAGAGCGAAAAGAATCCAGACAAATTGTATTTCTGCTGCTCAAAATGCAGATATTTCAAATGGTATGATGGAGGAGGAGAAGAAGAAGTTAATAGCAGAAGAAGCAACCAAGACACAAACAGAGAAAGGGATATTAGCAGAGCTAGAGTGCTTGGCATTTCAGAAAGGCAATCTGAACCTAATATGGAACTGCAAGACAATTGCCAGCTCAAAGTGTCTTAGGAAACGTGCTGCTCATCACCAATATGCTACTGTTAGCTATATATATTTTCATTCAAATAGTAAAATCAATCAGCTCCTGAATTCATGTAAATCTGCTGCAACAATGTAGCAGTTGTAGTATGCCTTTTGTGGTGAAAGCCAAATGAAAGTTATCCAGCTATGTCAGTTAGAATGCTACATAAACTAATGTAAAATCCATGTATGCAGTAGTTTATAGTCATTGTATGTGAAAGGGAATAGCATCAGTATGCTAATTTGATCAATAGCAACTGAACAATAGCAGCAGTTACATTACACATGCTAAAATGCAACTTTTCTGGCCAACAGAACATATAACATTTCCATCAATGCAATCCAAATTACAAAACACCATCTACCAAGACAGTTTCTAGAATAGATGGTGAGGATTGCACCACTAATAGTGTAAAAGAGTGTGAGCTCCCATTAACAAAATATTTCAGCAGTCCTAACTTCTGGTACATTTCCAAATAGCAGCACCGAATTCAAAAGAAAGCTAAACTAATCATTACATGCTAACTAGTCTGAACTGGCAACTCAAAACCAATTACTGAAAGTGCTGGTACTGCTAATGCTATTGGAGTTCATATTTGGTGGTGCATTCATGCTGACAGATGTAGCATTTTCAGCTATGTCAGAAGTCGAATGAACTGGAACCTGAGGATTGGAGTACATTCTAGTACTTTTGGTCCTACCAGCACCTCTGACTGTTGAAGTAGAAGGATTGTTTGAAGCAGGCCTTCCTCTCTGTAAACATAATAGGATGAAAATCAAGTTCAAATGAGCAAAAATTAGATCACAGAACTTTTATTCTCTTACACAAGCTATAATATACAAGTTATTACCTTTCTGTTAGAGCCTGCAGCAGTAGTTTGACAATTATTCTGCACGTTAACACCTCCATTATGACCAGTAGGACTAGGATTGCTCCCTTGACTGGAGTGAACTATAGGTACTGCTCCTTCTGCATAATCCTGTGAAATGAGAGCACTTGTGAGTCCCTGGAAACCTTTTCACATATATAATTGTAATAGATAAGAAATGAAACATAAAACTGGCAGCAGAATACCCAAAGTACAGCTCCTGATAAGCCTGTGCTGGCCATTCCTCTGCCTGGCCTACCTCTCCTATTTGTCATCTGTGATAACAACTTCAAATGAGTAGCACATAACAAAAATCAATGTAAGATGATGCAGTTCAGTGATAAAATGAGAAACTACCAGTTCAGCTGTGGTTTTGTTTGCAGTCGTTCTGTGCACAGGTTGTCCTTTGCAGGTCCTCTTATTATGACCAAAAGCTCCACAATTGCCACACTTGAGAGTGCTGCTCCTTTTTGGTTGTGAAGAGGAAGCTCCCTCATCAGCTTCCTTCTTCGATTTACTCTTGGTCTACCAGGAGCTCTTCGCAAAGGAGGTGGCAACACAGTTTTTGGGAGTAAATCAGGCATCGCAGGCCACCTTTTCACATCAGGAATAGGATGAATCATTTCTGAGTATGCCTTCAAATACATGTCCCTCGTGAACCAGGCTTCACAGTAATGTTCCAATTTTTTCTCCTATAAATAATTCCCAATGCTGCATGTTTACATGGAATTCCAGATATCTGAAAAGCACCACAATCACAGATTCTTTTGCTGAGATTAACTATGTAGCTTCTATCACCATCACCAATCTCGAATGTATCTTCACTAGCCATATGTATCTCACATTTTCTTGATGCTTGGCTAATCTGTGTGAGTTTCTCAGCAATCCTGGGAGTGATATTAGCAGTCAAAGTGCAACCTTTCTGGTACCTCTTGTGCAACTTTTTCATGAATTTTCTCCTCAAACCATCCACTAATGTCAGTATAGGCTTTCCTCTAAGATCACCAACCCAATTATTAAAGGATTCAGTGAAATTATTTGTTACATGATCACACTTAAGTTCAGATGAGAAGACATGCCTACACCAGGAACTTCTTGGAATTTTGTCCAGATATCTCCAAGCAGCAATGTTAATATCTTTAATACTTGCCATTGCTTCATTATAGCCAACAACATCATAACTTTTTGCTGCCTTCCAAAAGAAACTTCTAAGTAATATTCCTGGAAATTGAGACTTGAAATTGCTACATATATGCCTACAAAAATGCCTACCAGTTGCATCAGGAAATATCTCCTCATAAGCAAGATTCAGTCCCTTCTGCCTATCACTCATGAAAGTTAAAGGGATGTTGTTGTCTAATGGTCCAAAGAACTCTTGAAAGTAATAGAAGAACCACCTCCAAGTATCCTTGTTCTCGCATTCAGTTACAGCAAATGCTATTGGAAAAATGCTGTTGTTTGCATCCAAAGCAACTGCTGTGAGAAGCACACCTCCAAATGGACCCTTCAAGAAACATCCATCAAATCCCACAAAAGGTCTACAACCTTCTAGGAATCCCACTTTTGAGCTCTAAAGCTAATGAATATTCTCAAAATTTAGGCTCAATTAACAGATTTGGCCTATCATAATGTATTTTACAAATGCTATTGGGATTATTGTTCCTTAACAGTTCAGCATATGAGGGGAGTTTAGAATAAGATTCAGCATGTGTGCCTTCTATTTCATTAAGTGCTTTGTTCTTAGCTCTAAAAATCTGCATTTTACTTGGCTTCACACCATATTTTCTCAACTCTACCTCTACACCTTTGCTGGTCATATTAGGATGATCTCTCATGACACCAACCAGCTTCTTGGCCATCCAATCAGAAGTGGCTTCAGCACAGTGTTTATCCATCACACAAGTGTGCTGTGTTGGTAACTTTTAATCTGAAAAGTTATATTATCAGCCACTGGTGATGCATGTATTCTCCACTGGCATCCCTCAGCATTGCATATAGCAGTCACTCTCGATCTCTCATTTTTCAATCTCAGAAGTGGAAAACCTTTTTGAATAACATAATCTTTTAAGACAACTCTAAATGCATCCACATTGGTGAATAATTGACCCTTCTCAAATTCTATGTCATCTTTAGGATTGTAAATCCACATCTTTGATCTTATTAACTGTCTTCTAGAATTATCCCCTTCCTCACTTTCAGAATCAGGCACCACAATTTCCATTTCATTGTCTTCAAAATTAGAAAAATTAGTATCACTTTCTTCACTATCATCATTTGAGACCCTATCCAGAACTAATTCATCCTCATTGTCACTATACGGATTGTGTCTCCATGAAGAATCAGAGCTAGAATCTCCATACTGATCATCTGAGATATCAACATCTATAGCTACTGTCTTCTTATTCTGTTTACTAATAACCAGAGTATCTTGCATGTTCACAGTAGTCGGATTTACTAAGTTATTCTTTCATCAGCAGGGATAATTTCCATATCAGAGACATGCAAGTTAATCACTGGCTTAGATTGATGTATTTTGAACATCTCACAAACAGAATAATCATCATTAACATCCATCGTGCAATTTTTTCCAGGAATTTCACATCTCATCTGCATAATCATGTTAACATTCCCACTTATCTTGCTCAGTGCCTTTTCAGTTACGTCAAACAACAAGTTAATGTATGAGTAGGTACTTGGATCAACATTTGGAATCCTGATTTTGTTTGCATTACAGTGAACAACAATGTCATATGCAGCAGCAATAGTCCCCATCCTACATTTTCAGATTTGGATGCAAAGTAGTGATTAAATAAAAGTGCATGCTTCCTGCCTTTACATTCTTATAGAAACACACAGCCACGGATTTAAGGGGGGCTGGTGGGGCTTAAGCCCCCCCAAGCCGCCGGAAAACCCCCTATATATAGGGGATTCCGGCGGCCAGCCCAGCCCCCCCACGGTGAAAGGAGATAATGATAATGCCGGACAAACATAATGACTTGGACATGTCTCTGTATGAATCAATTCCTTTGCTCTATTGGTCGTTAGTTTCTTTCTACTTTTGATGTCAAGTGCATAACTAGCGGTAGATTAGGAATGCAGGGCCGGATAGATTTTTCTCCCCTCATTTCAACGGAGCAGGTTATCAATATAAAAATTGAACAAAAATACAATGATCTATATATTGTTTTATACATATATATACATTTATACATAAACACATTATTATTTAATTATTTTTTAGTTTACTTCAATTTTTTTACATTGTTTAAACATAATGATTGTAAGTTTAGATTTCCTATTAAAAGTAGAGAAATGAATTAAAAAAAGATCAAAGTGATTTTTAACCTTGATTTTACATTGAATATTCAGTTAAGAATTTTAAAAAATAATTTATAATGTTGTTATTAATGTTTTATATACATAAAAAGTATAATTACACAATAGTGAGGGCACCCGTAGGTGTATAGGCAGGGTATATGGATAGAAAAAGCGGGGAACTGGGCCAGGGAGATTTTAGAACATCGGATCGAAGAGGGATCCCACACCCCATTGCCATCAAATGGCAGAATTTTCCCAATTCGTTGCTATTATAAATAAAAAGAATTTTAAAAGCACGGGACGGGAGAGGGATCTCCTGCCCTATAATTGCCATCCCTACGACAGAATTTTTCCAACTGCTTCTGTTGAAAGAGTATTTTCTGCAATGAATATTGTCAAGACTGATTTGCGCAACAAAATGGGAGACGAGTGGATGAATGACTGTCTGGTTGTATACATCGAGAAGGATATTTTTGCAACAATTGAAAATGAGCAAATATTGCAGCGTTTTCAACGGATGAAGACTCGCAGAATGCAATTGCCTTCTCTTCGTTATTCGAGTGCAACAACTACCAATACTTCAAGTGTTAATCAATAACAAATTTTTGGGTATGTATAATTATATGTTTTTATTATTTTTATAATTATTGATTCTAAATTTTACTTATTAAATATATTTATTTCGTGACAAAAAAAATTTTTTAATACACTTCAGCCCCCCCAAAAATAAATTTCTGGCTCCGTCCCTGGAAACACATATAATTTCCAGAAACACATCAGCATACATCTCACTACATATCAACGTACTTCAGCATTACAGAAACTACTGATCAAGCAAAACAGTCAATATTTGATAATACATTCATGCATATTTTTAATAGAAATTAATGAAATTTCCAGAAAACATCTTCCATGCATCCATCGTGCATGAAATTTCAAGAAACATCTTTAGTTACAGTACTGCATGAAGCAACAAACATCTTTAGTTTCTTGACACATCTACTGATCAAGATTAGTACCTTAACAGATAACATGCATTTTTTTAACAAACTGATTCATTACAACGGAAGAGATTATAGTACTGCATATCTGAAAATGAAAATTCGTACCTCAATTTCTGCTTCTAAGAAGCTTAACTTCCACCAGATGAAGACAGCTTCACACCAGTTCCATTGCCTTCTTCATTGTCCCGTTTCTTAGCATTTAGATATAAGACATGTTATCTGCCAAATTGGCGCCAAATTATAAGACATGTTATATAAGACATGTTCAATCAGCCTCGTCACATCACTCATCATCAGAAATTGGCGCCAAATTACATCTTCTATTGGCGCCTAGGAGTAATCATTTTTTAATCACCTTCATTACACATTAAATTTCTGTTATTCTGGTTAAACATAATTAGAAACCTCAAAATGCATTTGTGTAAGTAGTTAACGTCAGTGCAAATGTATCCTCTGAGGACTAATAGGTCATTTCAGTGCTCTGCATGTCAGATTTGGGCCCCAATAATCTGTCAGGGGAGCTAGGTGTAATTTTTAAAACCTAAAGGGGTCTCAGTGCAAGTGTCAGAAACCTCAGGGGAGGTTTGTGAAATTATCCCAAACATTAAACTAAAAGTCCATACAAAATGAGCACCTAGGAAAAAAGGCCATATGCAGATAATGACGAACCATAAGACTGAATTACCTGGGATGCCTGCCCATAAGAAATCACGAGCATCTGTTAATAGTAATAGAACTCTGCGGAAAGTTTCCTCCCGTAATATGAGTTACTACCCCTTGATCGCTTACACTGCCCCAAACGTCTAATTGCATTTTCCAACTGAAATGGAATATTACTACCGAAATTGCATTGTATGTCCAGATAGTCCTAGAAGACAAATGATCCAAGCCGATACTTGACATGTACCCCCTTTCGGGCCCATCCACACCGAGCTTTACCCGATATCAAGCGGGAGCTACGAGCAAATAGAATACCTTTCAGGAGTATCAATACTGTCACATGAATCAAATGCAAATGCGATGTACCAAAAAATCTGCGGTTCCTAATGGAATAGGCAACAAAGCCACTTTGCCACCCACTGCTACAAATCACCACCTCCCCAAGTTAAATTGGTGCTTGCTGTTGCACCAGGAGCCATTGTACCGGGTGCTAAAGCGTGGGTGTTTTGTATCCATTGAGCAAAAGCGGGTTGTAATTGGATAGCGGTATCTGAAAACATATCTGAGGACGCCCTAAAGCGCTCATGGTATCATTATGAATATACAAACCAAACTGTGAAAGCCTAGAAATATACATGCCCAGTTGAGATGTGATATAATTGCATCACGATGTCTAAGGACACAATCTAATAGATCATTGTATCGAGTAGCATCATAGTCTCTTACCATAAAATGGCTGCGTGTGCAGCGCACCAACTATGAGAAATCCACCAATCCACATGTGCTGTGTGAACACAACAATTGTGTACCATAGTCAGTAGCTAGATATGGATAAGGGGCGTGGAATACATGTGGTGAGCTACAACAATGGTTAAAGAGCCTAACATGGCTAGATTAAGAGATAATTGAGCATGCCATGACGTTGTTAGTATCTCATATAGTCCTTTATGGCCCCAGCCTGTAAATGGACCTTTGTGAGCTTCTAAAATATCTTTCAAACCATGACCAATACCCCAGTTGGTCCTATACGTGTGACCTGCTATCAGGAAAAGAATTGCAATAGCTAAATGGTGTGTGCAATATTGGTTAGCTACAGACCCCAGTTACTGGATCTAATTCTCCACGAATGGTAAGAAATTCTGCATATTTTGACCAATTCAATAAGCCTTTCAAACTTTCACCCGTCACTAATCTATCTTTTGAGTCTCTTTCTTTGCCCTTCCTTCCTGTCGGTAGTGTAGGCGGAAATTGTTGTTCTATAAAAGATGCTCCAAGAGCTAACTTACGAACTGATTAGAGAAAAATTGTTCTTAAGGTGATGTTCCATCCATTGCAACTCCCTTGACCACGGAAGTCCTCCCTATACAGCAGTAGTGATTCTAAATTCTGGACCGAACATAAGCAACATAATTACATTGGGAGAACAAGTGCTCCCCAGATTCATAAGCACCTGTACACAATGGACATCGTAGATTAGAAATTACTCTCCACCGCACCAAGCGATCCTTAGTATTCAGTCGATTCAAACACAACATCCATATCCATAAAACAAAAGAATATAGGAATGGAGTATTTGAGCCAAACTAATTGATGCCAAGATACAGCATGATTCTTGGGGACAAGTAATCTCATGGCTGATTTGGGAGTGTAAACTCTAAGCTGTCAGCTAACTAATGAATCAAATTAGGCAAGAGCAATCCAAGAGATATTTGGATAGAAAATTATTTGGAATGACACTGATACTTTTGTAAAGTGATATATGTAAAAAAAAGGTGGTTGAAAATTGTATTTATGATATAAGTTGAATAATATTATCTTGAAAGGACTTGCTAGATTGCTATTTAATGTTTATAAGCTAAGTGGAAGATTTGGTGAAAAGCCCCGTTGTAGTCGAACTTAGGGCCGCTTAAAATCTAGTAATCCCTTGTATTGTTTTTTAAACTTTCCCTAACGTGTTGCTTGATTTTTTCATTAACATTACTAAATCTCTTTTTTTTCTGTATTTCTTAATAGTATTTTTTTTATTGAAGATTGCTCTACATCATTTTGGAGAATAACTCTAGATGATTTCAATATTGGATAAAGCGAAAACAATAGCTGCTTCTATTATCTGGAATATCCATTTTCATGATTTACTTGGTAGTGGTTTGAACCCAAGAGAAAAAAAAAAGAAATTTATCATAAATGGGAAAAAAAATTAGGTTTACTTGTTTAGTAAATTCTTAAGTACAAATAGATTGACGGGGAAGGAGATTGTTCTGGCGAGCACTAGACACTATTTCTCCTTTAAGCTGGGCATATATTTTATACTCCAATTTTGTATCTGTAAGTTAATGTTCTGAGACGAGAACATATCATGTCTAACTATTCTTACATTTTTATTTTCAAAATTTTTAGTTTGTAGGTTAGCTCTACATATTCAACCTTGCTCAACCGAACTTTTTTTTTTTTCTTTGAAGCACAATTATTGCTAGGTGTCGAGTTACCCTCTAAATCCAATTTTCTTAAACCGATTAACCAGCTAACCAAGTACTCCCACCAATTCTTAGTTGAAGAGGGCTAATAAACGATTAGCAATTTTGTTGAATTGATACGACCGTACAACCAATTTGGGGTCAAGAACATATCATGTCTAATTATTCTTACGTTTTTATTTTCAAAATTTTAAGTTAACCCTACATATCCAACCTTGTTCAATCGAGTTTCTTCTCTTTTTTTTTTCCAAATGCAAAATTATTTTTAGGTGCTAAGCTACCACTCTATATCCAGTCTTCTTAAAACCAAGTAACCAAGCACTCTCACGGATAACTATTTGAAGAGTGTCAGTAACGATATAGCAATTTCATTGAATAAAAATATAAGGAAATTGGGGTCAGCAAAGAGCAAATCTGACTAGTAAAGCAATCTATTCACACAACTAGTTACACGCAAAGGGACCCCAACAAGAGAATTGTGGTTTAAGCAGAAGCACCATATAGGGTTTGATTCAAAGGGTATGCCAGCATACTCTGGTGTGCAATTAGCATAAATGCTGCAACAGTTACGATGCAAATATACCCTCCATTTACATTTGAAGTTCACCTGTACTGAACGACTTTAAAAACATAATATGCTTAAACAATAAATACACATGAAAATTCCTAAAATCAAGAGATAGCCATCTTTCGATTTGTATTCATCGTCGTATATCATGTATTAGTCATATGCCCCTTAAAGTACGATTTTGCTTGCCAGCCCTTCTTCTCAAGGGGACAGAAAAAAAAAGCCAGACTACGTTTAACGAGAGAGAGAGAGAGAGAGAGAGACAGACAGACAGAGAGAACAATAAAATCAAGAAGGAAAACTTGAATAATCCACCTCAATTTCGGAATGCAACTACCTTTTCCTTCTTTAGTTTCAGCATACCAGTCCAATGTAAGTGTGTGACGATATACTACATTAATATGAAAACCACGCAACCTAATAGAGTAAACATTGTATCCAACATGAAAACAAAAAGATAAAATGAGTAGAGAAACTAACTGGACATAAATGAGTGAACAGTCGATCAAACTAATTATGCTAAAATTGAAACCCCTTTTCAATTTAATTATATATATCTACCAGCCTACTTCTTTGCAGTGTCAGCAAAATTGATCACCTCAAGAATCACTTCCCAAATAGCAGGGGAAAACAAAGGAAAATGGAAGGCACCAGACAATCATCTTGCTCCATATCAAAGACGAACGAAAGACTTATTCTTCTAACTCTTGAGCCTTCTGAACTCCTATCCAACGGGCATAATCAACCCACCTATAAAAACAATTTATGGGTTTAAGGAGATCAAACTAACAATTGACAAAGCAAAAACCCGGAACATGAGGAAAAAGGTGATTAATCTTACAGTAGTGAACCCAAAAAGGTGTTCCCTGTCCGGACGGCGAAGCAGATTGCACTCAGAAATAACTTGTGCTGGTGCAGTAAGGGCTCTAAAATTCGTTGTTCAATGACACCAGCCAATATTTGATATCTGTTGAAAGAGGACAAAAGTTCTTAGTCATACAGGGCAAAATTGCATCTTCTATTTGCTAATTCTGAAAGGCACTAACATAGGAGATGCAATCATTGAAAATCTTGTAGTCTATATTTTCTTTTAACATATTCCTTTGAGGTGATCAATACAAATTTGTTTCTTGCACTTCCATCCAAGACCACTAAAATTACATTGCTGAACTCCCCAAAGGAAAGACAAAGACAGGTGCCTCAAAGGAAACATGCTGATCAAAGTCAACATTTCCTATCCATTAAGTTCTAAGTCAATGCTATGTGCCAAAAGGTGCCTCCAAAATGAAGTTTACTTTTCCAACTTTGTGAACCAACATATGCAGATTCCACAATGTGTTAAAAATGTAAAACCATGAACTAGATTAGAAATGCAACAGGGATGTGCAAGGAATTAAAAGCCACTAACATTAGAAGGTACATAAATCCTATGAAAAATTCAAGATTAGAGAATGCAAAGGAGTAAGCTCCCACAATGGATTTTCAAGTACCGGCAGCAAATCTGTGACATCATGTATACAACCATACAAGCATATGTACATGACCGACACATTACGTTGACCTGCGCTATTTTGAAAAAGCCACTGAACCACCATGCCTCATTTCAAAAGGCCTTAGGCTCTCTCTTCAAATATGACGCACGATACAATCACAAAGTACAGTGGAAGGAAAAATTAGTTTCCAAGGCTTACTTTCTTGTTTAGAGCGCCTTAGTTTATTGTTCTTTAGGCTAAGTTTTCACGAGTTCATCTTCAGAACTCTAGAGTACTGTCCATCAGTTATTGTAGGATTTCTTTTCCAGTCAGTAAGGATTATGGTACAATTCAGTTCACTTTATTGTTTAATTTCTTGGATGCAAAGAGTTTCCTGCAACAAGATACTACTCCCATGATTGATTATTGCTGGTATGTGATTTACTCAAATTGCTGCCTATCAATTTTTTCCAATAAAACTTCAGGGTTTTGTAACCTAATCCACGTTTTGTATCCTAAAAGCCAAAGCTTTACTAATGAGTAAAATGAACAATTTGCCTTTTGTGCTTCTGCCTGCAAGATAGAACCAAACTAAAAAACGGGAAACAGCTTGTTAATGGAACATAATTTACATACCGAAGATTGCTAGAAACTGACATATAGACACCATAGCCCACACTGGTAGATAATACTGGTACATTCTCAGTCTCATCCACAGAGGATACAGCCTTCTTTGCATTTATCAAGGCATTGGTAATAACTGTACCAACCTGAAGAGCATGAAGCACGTTATTTGCCCTGGAATCTAAAATTCAGAACATAATTGCCCCAATATCTAATTGGTCCAGCTAAAAGATAATCAGTAAACTAGATACAGAATAGTTACATACATAAATACATACATACATCCATATATATATATATATATAGAGAGAGAGAGAGAAGAAATAGTACAGATGATCCTCATTCATCATTGGTAGAAACTTTTTGATAAGCAACCAGACAATTACAAGTTGAATATCAAGTTCACTTATAAGCTAAATGTGAGACTGGCATAATTCAATCAAGCACGTCAAACAAAGATAGAAAGATAGAAGTACAAACCTCCTCCTCCCCACCACCCCCCCCCCAAAAAAAAAAAAAAAAAAAAAGATATGTATCGCAATGCTGAGTAGTCCAGGGTAAAGAACATGATGAAATAGGGAAGGGTAACTAAAAAATATGGAACTTGACTGTCAATTTAGTCTTCCAAGCATTCACCAAAGTGCAACTCTAGACCTGCAAAAATTTTAGCAACCCTAAGACATCTTTTAATCCCCCCCCCTCCACCACAAAGGCACTTAAGCAGCTACCATACAGAATGATACTGAGGTCAGAAAATGAGGGAGCATGTCATTACAAGATTTCTAGCAAGCTTGTACCTGAATGCATGTATTGGAAAGATATAACCAACAGAATCAAAAAGTTGGCCATTTTTGTTTAATTTTGCACAAAGATTTGATCTAATGTCTCTTAATTTCTCATTCAATCAGAATTTACATCACTCAAATGTCTCTTAATGTCTCTTAAGTATGATATGCTGTTCTGGAACAAACACAACTTGCTGAATGAAGAAGCCCAAAATTGAAGATACACATCTCTCAGCGATGAGTTCGTTTTTAAGTCCTTTGCATGTAATCTACTACATCAATAAGATGAGGCAAAAGGCCGTTATCAGGACTGGTCCTTATTGGAGATATAATACATTTCTAGGATTCATCAGCGCCTGGGTTGTTTCGCATATTATTAACCTTAGCAATTCAACTACACTTCAAGAAAGACACTGCTTCAAGTCCCAGAGGTAAAGAGTGAGTTGCTAGATCATCATAATAGTAATCTCATGGAGTATACACTTTATGAACTTGCAAGTTTTCCATGCCTAACCATAATATCTAGTAGAAATTCAAAAATTGCATAGCTATCAAGATGAAGAACATCCAACTAGGTTGAGTTGTTAAACATCAAAGCAGTTGCATGCTGAATAGAACAAAAAAGAAACATATGTAACTCCAAGGACAATCATCTGACTAAATCTCCCACCATACAGTACTATGATCAATGCCAATAAATTGTAATGTGGAACTTTTTGGTAAAGGACAAAAAGCAAGTTAAAGAAAAACCACTAATTGAAAGGAGCAGAACAGAATAATACCAGAGATGATGTGGTGCCAACTGCAAATAGTTTTGCCCCGTTGCGCTGAAAAAGAGATTTGCGCAGCATTAGGCCAAATGTGAAGCTTTTATTATGATAGATATAGCTCAAGGATGCAGAAATGTCTCATACCACTATTGCACCAAATCTCTGTAGCAAGGAAAATGATGTTCCACCCAGAGCTATCTGCACACAATGTTGAACAACTGATACCACCACCTGTTTATCTATTTTACAGCTGAAGTTTATTTTAAAGTGTGAAACTAGTTAATTTTGACCTGAAATGCATTATCTGGGCAGCCATAAAAGAATTTAGCTATACGGCCTGCATTAGCACTAATTGGTGCTCGAAGAGAAACAGTCGGAGCAGGAAGGTAGACGAGCATGAAATCTGCAATTACTGCCATCACCTAGGAGAAATACAAATTTTAAAATGTTTCAAGATCACATTTGTACATGTATTACAAGAAGGCAGCAAATACTTAGTACTGCAACCACGTACTACAAAGTGTAGAAAAGTTAACCAAAATTTTCTGAAGGATCAGTTCATCAATCTGGATTGCATCAACATCTCAGATGAAACCAAGAATGTGTAGTACCAGATATCATTATTTGTTAACTTGGATAATTGTGTTTCTCCATTACAACCAAGAATTACAATGTTGCTTATGGTGACAAGCTTATAAATCTGATCTAAGCAGGGATCAACTGATAAGGCCAATTGTTTTGAGAAATAACTTAACTCTTAGTTCCGAAGTTTGAATCAGAAAACTCTTCAAGCTACAGCTGACTCAAAGTCAGAAGATTTAAAAAAACAGCATATAGTAAAGTCAAATGTGGAAAGATTGCCTCACTTCGGATTGTTTTCTGCAACCCGGGAACATGAAGTTGAAATCCATACGTAAACCAGCAAACTAGTCACTCTCAAAGCAAAAGGACAAGGTTGCAGAAAATGCAGTTGAAGATAATCAGAGAACAGTTACATACCACATCTGCAAAGACAATTTCCAGCTCCTTAAAGAAGTTCTCCCTGCGTCGCTCATATTCAGCAGCAGTCTGGAGAAAAAAATCATGTTTGGGAAGGCTACGTCAATAATAACAACATTCTGGAACCATAATAGGAGTGGAAGGGGAAACATCAGTTTATTTGACAGGCAATAGAACCTAATGTTACATCTCTTGCTTCTTTGAGCTTTAGAAGATGTGGGCGGGTTCTGGCATAATCATTAACTACACCTTCTTCTTAGCATATGTAAGAGACTAAGATGTCCCCAACGTAACAAAGGAACTTTCAGATGATAATGAAAAGCTTCACTATCAAATCCTGAAGTCTAAAGATGAAAGATGTGCAATGCATCTCACATTATTGAAACTTAATTCCTGCTAGAGTTTACTTGCATTAATTACTTACATTCCAAATACAGTTTTTTACTTGTAATAAGTTCTTCTTAACATATGTACGTTATCGAAACAAAAGGACTTGTTAGATGATAATGAACAATTCTACTACTAAAATCCAAGTCTAAAGATAAAGCTGTAAAAATGATACTATCTCACATAACAACCCCCTTTGCTTCACATATAATAAAATATTCAATTTCAATATTCATAAGCATCATTTTATCCAAAATCTTTAGGTCCTGATAACATTATTACACAATTCTAATGCAGGACTTGCTCTTTCCATAATCCCATGGCATGTGGCACACTTTTCAAAGTATCTCTGAACAACGATATCGCCATTCATTCTGAATTACCATTCAACATTTCGAACCTGATTGTACAAACATGTCCTTGTGTTCATAAAAGGAATGGTTTCTTTTCAAAGTATCTATGAACAACGATATCGCCAATCATTCTGAATTGCCATTCAACATTTCGAACCTGATTGTACAAACATGTCCTTGTGTTCATAAAAGGAATGGTTTATACTACATTGCTTAAGGATAGACTCCTCAAGGGTCTGTCTATTTAGTTGTTTCAATTAAAATGACATTCTAGATTACTTTGAATGCAAACCGCTCACATGTATTATTTTCCATTAACTACACCATTTCTTAATGAAAAATTAGACCATCAAAGAGGATAAACACCCAAGCATTTCCATTCCCTTTTTCCCCCTTCATTTATGTCCAATCTCAAAACGAGCCCTTGGACAGCGTAGAACCAAAGGTAAATTATAAATCTTGTAACTGTGTAACATGTAAACAATAAGAACCCCAAATGTTATAAGCTGGTAGTGGAGATTAGCAACCCTTAAAAACTCACAGTTTTTATCATCAAAGCAAGAAGAAGCTCTTCACCTTTCAGCATAGGATACTAAAAAGTTGACTTACCCCCCAACATGCACATCATTAAAATTACATTCAGCAAAAGACCCAGAAAAAGAAAAAGAAAAAGATTCATACTTGGCTAAGACATCAAAGCAGACATTTTTCAATTCAAACTCAAAAAGTTCAAAACCTAAGCAGGGCAAAAGAAAAAAAATCATAACGACAAAAAAGTTTCCATCTTGGGAATCTTATTAAATATTCATCGTGCAAAAAAAAAAAAAAAAAACCAACAAGGCATCAGCTGTTGTCCGGCTAAAACGCGGTACAACAAGCAATGCACGAAATACACACCTTCGCATAATTAACAGACAAACAATCATCTATCCATCAAAAAGTACAGCATACAAAGCACCAAGTACCACTTTTAAAACCTCATATATCGACTCGAAATAAAATTAATTAAAGAAAAAAACCAAGAACAGAAAATACTGAATTATTATACCTTAGTGAACATGCCAACGCCGCATTCCATGATAACCTTAGCTAAGAAGAGATCATCCGCCAGAGCCGCTCCTTAAATCCTCCGAATTTCATCAACCAAGCGAAGAGAGGAACTTTTTCCAGCTCAAAATATTTCAAAATGATGGATCCAGGTATCCTCCCGTCTTCAATGGCCGCCTTCAAATCCTTCGGCAAGCTCTCTATCGACCTCCCCGCCTCCACCAGCACCATCATGGCCTCCTTTTTATTATTATTACTATTCTCCCACCACCGCCGCCGCCGCGTTACTGTGATCTCCTCCGCCGCCTCCGCCGCCGGAGCTATTATTGTTATTGTTGTCGTTATTACCGTAGCTGTGATCTAAGATTTCCGGCGCCGAATCGACGCTGTGGGTGGTGTTATAGTTTGGGGTAGAACACGTGAGCAAAAAATGGCCCCCGCGGCGGGGGCTGCAGCGCCCGAGGAGGTGATGCTGGTGGTAAGTCGGTGTTGGTGGTGGCAGTGGACAAATAAGGCAGAGGTGGAGAGGCGGCGAGGGTGAATGCAGCGAATAAGTGAGAGAGAAAGAAGAAGATGGTGGAATGACGTTGGCGGCGGCGATCGACATTGTTGTTGTAGATCGCGCTTTCTTTCTTTCTTTCTCTCACTTAATCCCTGATGCAATTTTCTTGTCTATGGAAGGCGTGAACTTTGAGGGAGGAGAAAAAGGGCGAGAAGAAGGGGAATGGGGAGGAGAAGTGTGAGGTGAAGGGTGAGAAAGGGCGGAAGACTTTTGCTGGTGGCTGCTTTTTAACGAACTGCGTAATGCTTTAAGGGGTCTTTTTTTTTGTTTGTGTTGGGTGGGGGAGGGGGGGGGGGGAAGATGGGGAGGATGCGTGGGGGTGTTGGTTTGCCGTAGGTTAAAAGTGTTGGGGAGTGGAAACCCACGTAACGAAACGGGGCGTGAGCATACACTCGTCACGTATGCTGCAATAGTGCTTAGTGATCGTCTGTCTAACAGCTGCTCAAGGTGCTCGGTGACGGTGAAAAAGTCCAAGGCTTCCGTCTTACGAGTGTTCGGTGACGAAGTTTAAGAGTGCGCATTCAATGACAAAATTGAAATCTATTAAGTTACGAAGTTATTAAACAGTACTGTGTGTATACTATATTAACTCTGGATTTTTTAACTGGTGATCTTAACACATTCGTTGATACATTTAGTATTCATCTAACTATATATATATATATTATATATATATACACACATATTAGTAATTGTTATGCTCTATTATATTTATATATATTTTTATTTAATTTTGTCTACACTCCCTTGTATTTATTTATTTTCCCTAATTAATCTTATATTTTTAAAAATATAACATTTGAAATATATCTAGGGCACTCGTTAGATAGATTAATTAACTCTTAAGTGATAAATGAACAGTTTATTAAAGGAATAATTTCACAAACCTCCCCTAAAGTATCTAACGATTACAAAGAGCTCCCCTCAAGTTTTAGAAATTACACCTAGTTCCTTACTTTTACTATTTAGGTAACAACATAGATCCATTAGGTTAGATTTTTCCTCAAATATCCTAAATTACCCTTATTCTATAAAAACAAAATAAAACTATTTTTCTCAATACTTGCTTCCAAATGTGCAACAACACACCACCAAGCAAACACTTCAAACTCCAATGCTAAATCTAATTATTTCTAAACATGCAACAAACCTACTAAGCAAATAGTTTGAACAGTTCAAAATTTCAGCAACTCCAAAAATTTCAACATTTGTCTTGTAATATCATCCCAGCTTAAATGGTTTTGAAAAATCAATTCTCCCTTGACAACCAACAACCAAACTCATATTCTAAACTTCAATTCAATACCTAGCACTGTCATAAAACAAATACTAATGTAAACTACCACCACCAATAGAACAATACCACCCCAACCTCCACAAAAATATATATTAACATCGTAAAGAGAATCAAATGCATTTATTAACATCCTACACAAGTTTTCAGGATAATAATCAACCCAACAATTTCCCCACTAATCCTTCCTCTTCCATGCTTCGTAGTTATCAATTGCATTATGTATTTCTTTATCATCACTACAAGCATACTCATTTCTCTTTAGTTGACAATGAAATCTGCTCCTGCAAGTAAAATAGTGTCATATTCATCACATAAAAAGAAATGGTTATGGTATGGTAGGTTATCATTAAGATAAACAGATATGTGAATATAATAAAAATGTAAGAGGAAAGGAAAGGCAAAGAGACAATAAGAGAAAAAAGAAATAATCGTTGCTTACAAGAGTGAGAGAAATGGAGAAAGAAGGAATGACCATTGGTAGATAATAAAAGAGGTAGGATTTTTTTTCTTGGTTTTATTTAACCCTTGCATCATATTGTGAATTATCTATTAAATAAAGGACATTATAGTCATACTATCACACCAAGGGAGGTTAGTATAATTTATTAAACCTGAAGGGAGCTGAGTGAAATTGTCAAAACCCTCAGGGGAGGTTTGTGAAATAATCCCTTTATTAAATATGTTTAAAATTGTAAAGACTTGAATCTATTAAATTTAAATAATAATTATTAATATATATTACAAGCAAATGAAAAAAATGTCACCAAACTATTTCCGTTTACACATTTATGTCACTAAACTTTTTTTTTTGGCAAAAAATGTCATTAAACTCCTAAATTCTGCTATTTTCTACCATTCTGTCTAATTTTGGTGTTAATTTAGACGGAAGGCTCAACAACCAAGATGGATGTCTTATTTTTCAGGGGGTTAATTGGTCTTGTCCCTTCTGGTGCAATATGAAAAGGAAGGAAAATAAAGCTACATCTATTCATATCATGCAAAACTCTTCCCAAAAGCTTTGAAGATGGGCCATGGCACATAAGGTCTCCTCCAATCTGCGAGTGCGGCATAAGAACCATCTTGAAGACATCATGGACTGATAGGAACCTAGACGGAGGTATGTTGAGTGTGCTCATGCTGAGGTAAGTGTATGAAAATTTTTAAAATTGGTTGGATCTACTAGAAGATGAAGTTAAAGAACCCTTTTTGTTGAACATTGGAGGACATAGATACTAGGATTAGTATGGTGATGAAATATGTGAACGTGACAAGCAAGTAATACCTAAGCTTTTGAGGAAAGCAAATAGGCTGGAAAATAATAATAAAATACAAAGACAAGAAACTCTAAAGATGCAAAACAAGATAGAAACAGTGGAGGTTAAAGTCAAAAAAATTGAAGCAACAACTTAGGGAAATAGAACCTGAAGAACAAAATGCACAATTGTTGTGTTGGTGATTTGGACACTTGTGAATTTTGTAATGTGGATGTAGAGGCCTAGAAAGGGGTATTTTTCTGGAAGATTGAAAATTGGTGGGTCCTAAATTATGGCTTTGATATTGCTAGAAAAATGAGACAATGAGTAGTTTTAATCTTAATCTTATTGTAGATTGTTGTATCATCTTTTGTTTAATGTATTGTGGTTGTTGTTAAAATAACTTTGGTTGTATAAATCTTGCAAAATGTCCAAAGTATTAGTCAAATTTCCAAATGCTTTAATGGCAGAAACAAAATAGGATACATTGAACTAAGAAGCATGTCTATTGGCTACAAATAGGATAATGTGGTCCTAAACTCAAGCCACAACTTACTACAAAAGGCGGTGCATCATAGTCAAATCCCCAACCAAAAGAATATCAGTCTGCATGAAACTACCAACCCCTAAATAAGTACACATAAACAACATAAGACAATAGCAAATTTGGTCATTCTGTTCCAGCCCTTTCAACTCCTCTTCCTCATGAATTTCCAGCCCATCTGCTAACCTTGAAAAGAGGTTCTTTACCCAAGTACACATTGTTCGTATTAATCATAATCTTGTCCATCTTAGTTAGCTTTGTTTTTGTCTGCAACTCTCCTTTCAGGGGGTGTACATGTGACTGTCCAAATTGCCTTGATGAACTTGCATTTTGATCACCATTGGCTGACCTAACTTCTCACTTGTTTCCAAAGTAGATATCTGTGTTATTAAAGCATTGGACATAATAAAATCACTACCAAAAAATGTGTATTAAACGACTACATTACTTACAGATTTTTCCTTAACAACAGTTGTTTTAGTAGAAGAGTTTCAGGGAATTGTTCTTGTTGCTACTATGATGGTCCCTTTGAGTTTGCATTAGAATGAGGCTGCTAAAAAATTTCTAATTCTGCAGTAGCTTGATCTCTATTGATATTGCCACTGGCCTTTACATTATTGACCATCTCCCCATATATGTCTCATGTTGTCCTCTTTGATGCAACAGTTGATTGAGTTGATCTTAGTCCCTCTGACTAGTCTCTCTAGGTCCTAAAGTGCATCTTTTAGCTCCTTTAGTAGGCTTAGCAGAATTTTCAGCATCTATAGTAGCAGCTGCACGTTGGTTCGATCCTCCAATTTCAGCTGCCCTTGTCTCGTTACACGTGGCCTTGTTGTGCCCAACTGACCACACTTTGTATAATGTATGATCACATGTTTTTCAACATATGAATAGTATTCCTGCCACCATGAGTGTATGCTCTTCCCTCAATGCTATCTTTTCTCCTATCTTTCATGGGTCTACCAAGTTGTACACATGGTATAGGAGGGTTCAAAATAGGTTTATCAGCGGTTGGCCCCTAGGCCTTTCCACCGATAGGAAATATGATATTTTGATAAAGAGAAAAATGCAGTTTTGGTACCTAAACTATGACGCAGGAGCGGTTTTAGTCCCCAAAGTTTGGACGAAAGCAAATGTGGTATCCGATCTTTCAAATTTTGAGCACATTAAGTACTTCTGACAATTTTTTCTCAAATTGCTACCGGAAAAGTCATGTGACAGTCACATGTCCGGCCACAATTATATAAAAAGGGCCAAAAAATGTCAAATGCCATTCTAATACTAAATATTAAATTTAAGGACTAATAACGTAATAAACAAAAAATCCAAGGACCTAAGGACTAAATAACATCATGAGTCAATTAAAAAAAAAGAATAAGACAACATCACATAGTATCTGTTTCGTTCCTCTTGCTTCGCGCTCAAATAGAAAACCCAAGAACCGAACTTCAACAAAAATTCAAGTTGGCTCCAAAAATTCGAAAAAAACTTGGCAGATTCTGGGGAGCATCAAACAATTGTGAACCGATATGTCAATCAGAAGCGAAGAATTGAATAATGAGCCACCCCCAAATGATGGTAAGTAAATACGGCTGACCTCATCTAATTTTTACAGCAATATTGAGTTTAGGGTGAAATTAGAAGTAACAAAATATCATTTATCATCTGAAAAAACTAATCTTTGGGAGTGTTAAAGCAAATGGACAATGGATTCTCCTAGAAATTACAAAAATAGTTTTAATCCAGAGTATAATCTACTGTATATCCCATTTTTATGTTTCAATATTTGTTAGTTGTAGCTAAAATATCAAATTTTTTTTTGCATTGCAATCGGCATTTTATAAGTGGTTTGTTGGAGTATTAAACCCTTAGTATTAATTTGAATGTTGATCAATATGTCTTAATTTTCTTACATACATAATAGTGATATGTGCTCTCGTTTAACTGTTTGAACTATTCTTCTTAAAATATAGGAAATGGTAGCACTAAAATCACCATGAGATGCTATATTTGGGGAAAATGTATAAATGGGCCTGATGCACATTATGAGGGAGGGGAAATATGTGTGTTTGATTATGTAGAAGTGACTGGGATTAGTCTGTTTGAGATGGATAGAATGCTTGAAAATGAAGCAAGGGTCTACGGCGATAAAAGGTACATATTTCTTGTAGAAGAGTATGGATTTCGCAGGCTTTGGCATGATAAGGAATTATATGCTTATTGTGCAGATTATCTAGATTATGGTAGGCGTGTTGACTTGTACATTGAGGTTTCTTTGCTAAAATTTTGAGGTTACAAATGGGGTATGATTATGAGGAGGATGATTATGATGATGATTATGTTTTAGAGGGAGGTATAAATGGTGAATCTGAAGAACACAATGGTTGCAATTCAATGCTAGCTCAGGGAATTCTCTGGTAAGGACTCGGACTATGAGATGGAGGAAGAGGATGATGATGATTATGAAGATAATGTAGATCAGAATGTAGAATGTTGGGGATTGAGAATCAAGTAGAAGAGGAAAGAAAAAGATTGCTAAAGGCAAAATGATTGCTGCAGCTCAGAGGGATATAGGAAGTGATTCTAAGAGTGATGTTGATAACTCTGATGTAGATGCTGCGCCAGATTCTGAATCTGATTTTGAAAGTCTACATGGAAGTGGTGATGAACAATGTAGGAAACCACCAATGTTTAATCCCAAGGACATGCATAATCCTAAATTAAACTTAAACAATATTTTAGAACTTCAAGGAGTTTAAGGAAGCGGTCAGAACCTGGAATATAAAGAGAGGAAGGCCATTTAAGTTTGTTAAACATGACAAAGTTAAAGTGATGGCCAAGTGTCCTAGAGAAGGTTGTGATTGGTACATCTATGCTAGAAAGTTGAGTGGGGAAGGCAGTGTGCAAGTTAGAACCTTTCAAAAAAAAACAAGTGTGGGTTCTCTACCATAATGAAAGTGTAAGATCAAGTTGGGTGGCAAAAATTACTGTGAGACAGTTAGAGAAAATCCGAGGCTAGATCTTAAGAGCTTTACAAATAAGGTAATGAAGGAAAATAAATGCTTTTTAAGTAAGTATCAAGGCTATAGAGCAAAAAGAGCTGCCACAAAAATTGTGCAAGGAGATGAGACTGATCACTATAAGAAACTGCCTGATTATATCAATGGAATAAAGAGGAGTAACCCTGGAACTACTGTGATTATGAAAGTAGTAGATGGGTATTGTGATGTTGTCACAAGACAACAAAGTTTCAAAGATTGTACATGTGTTTTGCTGGGGTTAAACAGGGATTCCTAGCTGCTTGTAGACCTATTTTTGGCTTGGATGGGACATTCTTAAAGGGTCCAGCAGGAGGGCTATTGCTAACTGCTGTGGGAGTTGATCCTAACAATGGATTTTATCCATTGCTTATGCTGCAACTGAGGGGGAAACCAAAGATCGTGGATGTGGTTTCTAACATTGTTGAGAGAGGATCTTCAAATTGAGAGAGACTATGAATGGACTATAATGAGTGACAAACAAAAAGGTATTATACAAGCATGTGAGGCAGTGTTTCCAAATTGTGACCATAGATTTTGTGTTAAACATCTACACAGTAATTTTTCAGTTGCTGGATTTAAAGGAACAACTTTGAGACGTGCACTATGGAAAGCTGCTAAGGCAACCACACTTGCAAAATTCAGTACAAAAATGAGGGAATTGGCAGAAATTGAATTGAGGCTGCGAAATGGTTGGGTACAAAGCAGCCTATTGAATGACTAGATCACACTTTAGAACCTTTTCCAAGTGTGACATGTTGCTAAACAATATGTGAGTCATTTAATAGCAAGATTCTACATGCTAGAGAGGAGTATATTGTGGGGCTGATGGAATCTTTGAGCATACGTAATGACCAGATTGCAGCAAAACAGAGATATGGCTAAGAGCAAGTGGAAAGAAATTGAATTCTGCCAAGAATCATGAAAAGAGTGAAGAAAAACATGGATATGGCTACTCAATGTTTTCCTATTAAATCAAATGATGATGATTATGAGGTTGGCTGCCCTTATGGAGAAACATATTGTGTTAATATTAAAGAGAGAATGTGCACTTGTAGGAAATGGGATCTTACCGGGATTCCATGCAGCCATGCAATTTCAGCAATCTGGATAGCTCGTAAAGACCCTATGGACTTTATTGATCAATGTTATAGTGTTGAAGCCTATCTCAAGTGCTATGCTAATTGTATTTTGCCTGTCAATGGGGAGCATGATTGGACACATACTCATGTTACACCTCCACTTCCACCAACATATGGAAGAGCACCAGGAAGGCCCAAAAAACTGAGGAAAAAAGGTGAAGATGAAATACAGCAAAAAAAAGAGAAAGGGAATAAAATGAGTAGAGTTGGGCAAGTGATTAAGTGTAACTACTGTGGTGAGAAAGGGCATAACAAAAGGTCTTGTAATATTCGGAAGGAGCAACTTGAAAATGCTGCAACTGAAGGCACTCAAGCTACTCAAAGTGCAAGCCAACAAGTAGGATCTTGCACTGAGCTATTTGAAATATCTCTTAATGAAGCCTCATCTCAAACTGGTGCTGATACAACGGTAGACAATCAATGTGTAAGTAAAATTAAACTAAGTTTCATTAGTTATAATATTCATTATGTTATCCATATTAAGTTAGTTAATAATCTGTGTGCAGGTAAACACATGTAGTGGACCCGCTAAGACGATTGCAAGAAAAGGAGCAAAAAGAACTTCTGTACTCTCTCTTGTAAGATTTCTTATACTTGTGGCACTGGTTTTCTCTTACTTTATTTAAAGTGACAAATATCTCTTTTGGTTGATGTAGGAAAACATTGTGCTTCCAAATCAGAGGAAAACAAAGGCACAGAGATCTTAACGACAAAACATGGCAGCTACTGAAGATATAATTTCGTCTACTCCAACTCCAGAACTTAACTTGCATCAAGTGTCCAACATTCCATTGCCTCAGATGCCATATATGAGTCAACCTGATCCAGTCCAAGTTCCCAATTTTCATATAAGAGATACAAAGTCTTGTATAATAACAAATATTACTGGTGGTCAATCTGCTGGGGGATCTTCCAATGGCTAATGAAATTGAGGCTGCGTGAAGTGAATCTATCTTAATGAACATTATCCCTTGTAACAATGCTTTTGTACAACTGCATCATATTTGGTACCTTATGTAACATTACCGTGTTACTGGAAAGTCATCTTTTGTTGGATTAACCAGTT